ATTCGGAAGGAAAGATAAAAAAAAATTTGATGTTCTGTTGTAAAATACTACTAGCCGGCCACTGAAAGTTCAGGAAGATTTGAAAAGAATAAAAAAGATGATGAATTTTAAGCTCGGTAATAAAAAAAACTTAAAAAAACCAACAGAAACATGTCCTTTCGTCTTTTCACGAGCGAGGCGTAGAAACTAGGATAGAGCGTGGAATCCGATGTTCGATTACTCATGGGGACTCAGGTTTTTCCCCTTTTGTTTTAAGCTCGTTAATAGACGAAAAAACGTCTTTCCTCAATGATTTTGTATTTTAGGCGTTTTCTGCAGTCATCAGACTGTTAAGCCTTTGAAATCAGATTTTCTGATCCGCGAAGGTCTTTGGCGAATTTCACAACAACCTTTGATTTTGAGGGTTTCTCGATGTCCATCCAAATTGGGTTCAAATAAAGAAATTTAAGAGACGTCACAAACTCCTCTTCCTAAACGAGGCTTCTTCTCACGAAAATGAGAAATCCATGCAGAGCTGTACTCTCAACTAAAATGTGGAAGATTAAAGTCTCTATTCCATTGAAATTATATCAAATATTTTCCACTTTAGAAGTGCTGAAGTACATCTATTAAAACGATTTTGTTTTGCTCTTCAATAATCGGTCAGTTCAAGTGATGCCTTAATCGTTTTTTGCTAGAATGGCAATTGAACGCAAGTTTCAGGGACGTTTGCAATAACAGTCTTACCATGGATGAGCTAAAACTATGATTTTTAGTGAAAATAAAACAAAACTAAACAAAAAGAAGAAATTCCTAGCATTCTAGATTTTTATTTTTCTATGTCAGAATTTGCACCCTCCGAAGGTCAATTTTTAATTTTAATTTAATTGCATTTTCTGCCTCTTAAAAAATGGAAAGGGCACGCATGAAGCGTCTGGAAAGTAAAATAGACAATTCTTCAAAAGTAAACCAACATCAACAACAAAAGCAATTGGAAACGATGGGAAATAATCAAGAGAATATAAACTTTATCCACTCTTAGGAAAAATTTAAGTCGATAGCATAATATTATGATCTTAAAAATTAAAAAATTCACTTCAACATCTTAAGTTCTTTTTTTACGACATTTTTTAAAAAGGAACTGCTAAATGTTTACTTAGTTACTTCTAGATTTCATAGTTTGATGAATCGAACTGCGGGAAATATAATGCATGACATTTGTCATGATTGGGCGGTTTATATCTCTTATCATCTCAAAGGTCTCTTGCTTTTGACAATCAATTTATTGATGTTTTTATTCATTCCTCTCTTAAGACCTTCAGAGGAAAATTTTGTTATTTTTCTATCTGCGCCGGATATTTCGCAAGGGCAATCAAATTCAACTGTCGTGTCGGAAACCAATTGAAAAGAGTTTGTTTATTTAACTTTGTTTTTCCCCTTGCGTAGGAGAATTTACTTCTCGCTGCAGTTCGGATACTATTCCATGATTAGGCCCACTTTTTCTTCCCTTGTCGCATATTATGTACCGAAGTGTTGGGTACAAAAACATGTGATGGCTTATATAACACTGGTGGCTCAACCAGAACCAGTCGTTTTGGAAACTGAGCTTATTCATGGATACTTTTTCACGAAGGATCTCGATTGTCCAAAAATATACCACGCTCAATTTTTATATTAGTAAATTGTCATTTTTCCTTTTGAATTTTAAAGACGAAATAGATCATACTTCTAACCAAACGTGAGTCAAAATAAATTAAAATTGCTGCGCTGCTACAGAGCTCTGTCTATTATGGTCAAATATGTTTATCACAATTGTTTTATTCCTGTACAACGGCTGTATGGGTTGGTTCCTGTTTACATTATTCGTCGTCTTTTCAGAAAGTTCTTTAAAGCCGAAAAATGTGTCCCTCTGTGAATACTACAGTTGATGAAATACAAGTGTTCTGAGACGGCAACCAGAAGAAACATTTTTAAATTCAAGTGTGCTTAATTGTTTGTCAGAGAGTGACCTTAAAAATTCAGCTGAAGTCAAAACTGAATCGAGAAATTTGGGATTCAGGTTTCGATCATTGTAAAATACAAAAACACATACATAACGATTTAAAAGTCAAGAGTTCCCCCACTGCGTTTGTTGATCAGAGAATTGTCTATTTTAATTAACCCTTTTGTTCAAAAATGTGTTTTCGTGGAGTACTGAATATATTGCTCGTGCAGATAATCATGTGAAGCAGTAGGGTGACGGTCAGTTCCAATCGCTTTCTGTCACCGCTACTACCGGTTCAGACATAACTAACGAAAATGTATCCCGCACGAACGTAGAGGATTTTGACTCCCTAGAATATGCCGACAAAATAAAGGGACGGGAAAAAAAATTCAATGCTTGTCATTGAAAGAAAAAAAAAGAATGTTGACTGAAATAGCATTTATTTTTTCTTTAGATTATCGTTTGAAACCTTGTTGATTTCAATAAAGAAAATTTAGTTGGAGAATTGTTGAAAATAATTAAAATAGACCCTGGCTAGGAATTAGCGCTCAAGTAATAATAGCCCACAGTTTGAATTAAAATAAAACAATCTGCTAACAAACGAGTTGAAAAGAAATATAAAAAATAAAACAATATTTCGAATCAATAAAACACTCCATTTGTTTCCCAGTTACTCACGGGTGAGCCTCATGATGAAAACTCGTTCCACCCATATTTTCAGCTTGTCCGCGCGAGCAAGAAGCCAGTGAGAAAACTGTAATAACTTATGGCATTTAGATTCAGAACGATTTACTGTTATGATTTTCGTCGAAATCGTGTTTTGACCTGTTTCGGTGCAGTCTTAAGCCAGCCCATGGTCAAAATTAAAATAATACATTTTGCTTACCAACAGATTGGTGATAATATTATTGTCCGTCGGTAAAAAATAACGTTGATTGTAATAATGATGACAAAAAATACCTCAGTTGTGTCCCAGAAGCGCATTACTATTTTGAACAATTCGTGATGCAACTCTTGGCATCCTTCTGTCGTTGTAACTTAGAGTAATTCATTAAATTCGAGATAGAGTGCTTTTCTTTATTAAGATTTTAGTCTCGCGAGAGACTAGGATATTTTCTGGCGACCAAGCATCTCTTGGGAAATTGTTGAGATAGAGGATCATATTTTCTGAGTCCGGTCTAAATCATGAATTGTTCTGTTTCAGCATAGTTTTTAACAAGCCCATGGTCTGCATTAAGAGAAAGCAATTTGTAATCATAACAAAATGGAGAATTTATAATCGTCCATCGGTAAATTAGAACCGCAATGAATAACTCCATTTGTTTCCAAGTGACGCACTATTCAGCCTTTCCTTTATTATGAAATTCGCGCCGCCTAATTTCACGTTTGTCCTCAGAAGCAAACGTTTGTCAAGAATAGTGCAGTACTTTTTTGGCGTTTAGGTGTAGTTGAATTTATTCGTTTATTTTATTTTTATTTTTTAAATTTTTTTTTCAATGATTAAAGTCGAGAACGAACCTTGATGTGTTTAAGAACAGTTTTCGACAAGCCCACGTTCTGAATTAAAAATAAACATTTGGCTGACAAACAGGTTGGGAAAAAAATAATTGTCCGTCAGTGAAATAGAAATGTGATTGTAATCAATCGAATACCCTACTCTAAAACCCTATTTGCTTCTAACACACACGTATTTCGTACAAGTTTTGGCACCCCAATTCTCAGCTTTTCGCAAGTGTGCTTATAGTAAATATTGTAAAGTATTTAGATTTACTGTTAGGTCGAAAATGAAATATTTTATTGTGATTTCAGCAAAAACTCGATCTCGACGATCATTGCCTGGTAAGTTATGAGAGCACTGAGCTATAAATAGCTGACGTAAAGCGAAGATTTTGATCAGTGATTCAATCCCTTCGAATGAAAAAGGTTTACTTGAGCCGTTAATTAGATGAAATAAATAATTGGCAATTCCAAAAATCATTGAAAAAAACAGTTATTTGGAGCAATTTTCTTATCCTTTTGATGTCGTACTAAACTAAGCTGTCTCCTTTGCGGATGTATCAAAATCACCCATAAAGCAAAAAAAAAAAAAACCATCCCGAGCTAAGTTTTAACCTACTGGCGGAGACACGGAAATGTCGTTTCATTTCTATCTCTATATTTAGACTGCTTCCCGTTATGTTTAGCCTTCCGTGACTGCCTCTCATGTTCCTGTTCCTTCAGAATTGCTATTTCAAGCAAAGGTATTCAGTCAAAAGACACTTAAAGGTTGCTGAAGCAAAGCTGTGGAGTTGCTTACCACGTCAAATAAAAAAGAAAAGAGGAAAGCGGGCGAAAAATGCCGGTTTTGTATCCAAAACAGTAGATTAGATTCTTTTTGAAATCTAACTGTGACTGTGGAAACGGCACGGTGTGCTTTAGGGCGTTAATTTAAACTGAGCAGTTTTTGACAACTGTGTCGTTGATCAAAACTTTTTTTTTATCTCCCTCGTCGAGGGAAGGAAGGAAAAACTCCAAGTCGAAAGACGTCATGTGGTGGGTCATCTCCCGAACGGACATGACAGAGATCCTTTCATCTGTGCCATGTTTACCACGGATGAAAAACTATCACAGTGTTTGACGGGCTTGAATCAATGCAATTGAACAAAATAAAACAACCTAGAGAGAACAGCTGACCGATTAACACCCTTTTCAATTTCCTCTCACTACCCTTAAGTGGGTTTATCTAGATCATTCACGCAAGCAAATACAGCTAATAAAGAATCATTGATCTCATAAATAATACCATACGCTCAGCGTTTTTATCTCGGATTTTGCCAAACAATAGAGGCGTCACTTAAATTAAAGCGGCAAAATTATTGATGCCTTTCAAGAAATAAATAATGGCTATTCTAGGCAATATTGGAAGTGATTCTTTTTCGGCTAGCCCCTAAGAAATGAAAATAAAAAATACGATATGCTTTTAGCAAAACAGGAAACCTTAGAGACAGGAAACTCTTTGTTGAAAGCGCGCGCGCTGTAGCCTTCAGCAGGTCCGCACCAGAGTGAGGCAGAGTGCGCACAAATGAGATAAGAAAATAAATAGACTCTGTAATCAATTACTTGAAGATGTTAAAATGGTAGGGCAGATGGTTTGGTTAGTCATTTAATGAGAGACATTCGTCGTGGATTGTAAAGTGTAGAATGTGGTGGACTTTAGTGCTCCTTCTGATAAACTCCGCGAAATTTTCGTGGTGTAGTGGCGGTAGCAATGGCAAGGTAAGTTCTCATAGATCGCAAGCTAGTCTCCGTAGTTCTATCTCTTCGACGAGGATTCATAACTCAGTCGTAGTTTTTTCTTTTTTCGATAATTGTTATTCATAAATTTGTTTTGTAACATTTTAATTCTTTTCTTTGTACAGAGACTCGCCGAGCATCCTTTACCGAGATCTCTTCCTGAATCAAAGCTAAACGACTTGGCCCAGAGAACAGATTACGATGCCTTCTACAGCGATACTTTCATGAAAGGACTTTACCACGTCCGATACCCAGGAACACAGGGGCATCATAAAGTAAAAATGGTAAGAGAAAGACGGTAAAGCTCACCTCCGTAACGTATTCGAGTAAACAATCAGGCTACTTGTCTCAATTGCCGTTCGCGGAGTAATCTTTGTTTAAACCATTTCTCCTCTCGAACCATTGCGCTTTGATTGGCGCTCCTCAATTTTCACGAATCGTATTTCGAGTGAGTTTATTTTCCTGTGGGATCGTATTGAAGTCCTTTCTACAAACAATCGTAGTTCTTTACACTAACGTTACTGCTCTACCTGTTAAGTCAACAAAGCGATCAAACAAATCGAAGCGCGTTACGAATTTTTTATGCATCGGATTTGACATTGAAATACTTCCAATATTCGAACGTAATACAATATTCTTTGTATTGACACGGCTGTCGATTGTTTTCCTTTCTAAAATTGTTTTCGGAAGCATTGCAAAACGGCTATCTTCAATTCAGTTCAGCTGTGCATGTTAACCAGTGTTTATCACATCGCCTGATCGAAACTAAATATCAATTTTCAACCGCTATCTCTCTCTTCTTGTGGTTTTCTACCTTGGGTCAGTTTGACTTTATATTGAAATAGCGGTTAAGGAGATTTTCACCCCAAAAGTATTTCAGTCATTCGATTATAATCCCATGAAAAGTAACACGCGGGGTGTAAGTCCAAATAATGGTAATTTCGAAAAGAATGGAATTCCCCGAAGCAATTCTTCTCCATAATTGCTTACAGCGCTAATCGCGTTAACAGACAATGAAAACAAGCTCAGCAAAATTGGCTGGCTTTTCAAATTTGTCTCACGCTGGAAAAAGTAGTGCAATAATTATCCTGTATTTCTTTGATCTAAAATTTTTAATTCAACCAAGTCTGTATGTTTGTGATAGAAGGTGAAATTTATCTTTGGGGCCGTTTAGAGAAAAGATCATTAGAATTTTGTTAATTTTTGTAAATCTTAACAGAAAAAAAATTATGGGAAAAAAAATGGTACAAAGAGTTGATATAAGTTTGATTCCCAAAGTCTAAAGAAGAGAGAATCATTTTATGAATTTTCTTTGATAGTACTTTAAACTATAAATATTGTGAAGATAGATTTCCACTTTGAAATAAATATCATTTCTAGAATTATATAGTGCAGTTCATGAGTAGAATAACACTATCAGAAACTCAATTAAGGAAAGTTATAATTTTGTTTCCTTGTTTGCTTGGAAACTGGCATGCCATGCAAATTTTTTAAAATTAGTTAAAATCTAGAAATAAATTAAATGAAAAGATTGAAGCTCAGTGTACATTTCTGTATTATTTTTTGTAATTTTTGATATCCTATTGTGACCTTTTCTATTCAAAACTCTCTAGAAATTAAAAAAATAGACAATAGGGAATTGTGTATTATCTCAACTTTAAATTCAAAATCATTCCATGTTTACATTTATCAAATTATCTCTAGAAGGATTTTATTCTAACAAACTGTGTACATAAGGTTAGAGCAACAATAAATCAATGAAAGTGCTTGATATATATTTGTTTTCCAAGTCTTGGATATTAATTTTGTCAAATTGAGTAAATTGACAAATGTAGGTTTTTGCTTATTCTATTTTATCACGTCAGGATGTTATTAGTTTTATCAGGGGTAATTTGTCATATTTATGGAAATGAAATTCAATTTTTTTATTTAATTTACCATACAGTTAGCCACAAATGAAAATGATTTGCATCAAGTGTTACTTTTTCTTTCCTTAGAAGAGTGCTGTACATCCTCTCCTACTTTGCTAAACAGTGTAGTACTTTTTTAGTTAGTTTTTTAAGCATTATGTAATATTTAACAACAAGTTCTCTTGACATTTATCGAGTCTGTAGTTTCTCCAGTTTTACGTCAATATACAGGGCACTCAACTCATTTTTCTGGAAGTTTCCATTTGGCAAACTAAGGTCATAAATTATTTGCCAGAAATAGAATTTCAGTCATGAGAAGAAAAAATCAAAAATAAAAGCATTTTTGAGTTATAAACTTATGATAATCTGTTCAAATTTCTACTCATTTCAACTAAAGACCATACACTGTCAGTATGAAAATCTAATTTCTTTGCTCAAAAAAGACATTAAATAAACTTCAAGGGGAAGCTAAACTGTTCCAATTAGAGTTAAAAATATAAGTTAAAACTGGAATCTTCTAGGACAGGATTATTTACAATATCAACAACAATGACAGTGAAATACCCTATGTAAGAGGTACCCAGTATGAAGATTTTTTCATAAAAGGTAATTTATCTTGAACTTCTTTTTCCCTTCTAATTTGTTTGCAAATCTTCATTGCAGTTTATAAAGAAAGCATTTGAAGACCTCAACTGGACAGTCACATTGGACGAATTTGATGCTCCTACTCCTTATGGTACTAAGCGCTTCACCAATGTGGTCGCCACCCTTAAACCCAATGCAAAAAGAAGGCTAATGCTAGCTGCACATTATGACTCCAAATACATGCGTGACAGATACTTTCTTGGTGCCACAGATTCAGCAATGCCTTGTGCAATGTTAATTGAAATTGCCAGAATTGTCACCCCTTTCTTCAAGGCACGGGAACAGCAAAAAGGGAACGTTCATGCAGATGAGGATGAGGTATGAAACAGTGTCCAATTATCCTTTTACACCCTAACATGAATATTCAAATTCTCCACACTTTTGTCTTTACATTTCCTTTAGTACTGACTAAGGAGAAATTGTTTGACAATCAGGAACTTCTTGAATTGATAATCAATTCCTTTATTCTCATGATCTTCATATTCAAATCAAGGGAGATAATGTAAAGAGAAATTAGAAGCCAGTCACACTTGCAGAATGAAGGATTTTAAAGAATTGTAGCTATTGTCAATCAAGTTGATTGTAGCCCAGCAAGCTAATGTTAGCATGATGGGTGGCAAGCAAAGGTTTAACCTTTTAACTCCCAGATCAAATTTGTCATTCTCCTTACTGCCAACCAGACAATTCTTCTAATGTTAGTTCAGAAAATTTAGTATTGGATCAATTAATTAACCCCAAATTTATATTTTTTCATTATTCTCATCACTCATCTGGTTGATATTGTATTGATATTGCAAGGAGAAATTCTGTCTTGGTCACTCATGGGAGTTAAAGGTTTAAGGGCCAAGGAGGGTAAAAGATAAATGTGAGGAGTAAAAAGGTGTGATGGGAGAGAGGGGTAAGAGTTAAAGAGTACAAAGAGGGGTGAGGAAAAGAGATGACACCTTTTAATTTTTTTCTTTATAGCAATCAGACACAACATTGCAAATGGTTTTCTTTGATGGTGAAGAAGCATGGGTTGAGTGGAGTTCAACAGACTCACTTTACGGCTCTCGACATCTTGCAGAGATGTGGAGCAATACGTCTCACCCACCAGATTCAAATACTACAATGATAGACACAATTGTAAGTAATTCTTACCTTAAAATATTTTTGTAGAGGACTGAGATCCTTTGATACCCATGAGTGATTGCTATGTAGATTGCCCTGATTTTTTCAATGCTATTTCAAGTTGACTTGAGTGAGCTCAATTTTTTTGTCAGTTACCACTTGATGACTGAAATCATGAGAACTGTTACCAGAAATATGAAAAAAATATGATAGAGTGTAGACTCCACTAAGTTATACCAAAAATGAAATCTTACTTAGTAGTCACTTTCAATCAATTGTGGACATGCCTAAATTAATTCAAGGCAGAAAACCAATGGGATATAGGTTTATTTTTAAAGAGAAGAGGACATAACATCAATAATGTAATATAATATAAAGTATAATAATATATTATGAATGTTTATCTTAGTTGTATACAAGACCATAGACACAGAGTAATTGAAAAATATTAGCTTGGTATATGCCCCTTCCCCTAGGTAGGCTAGGCTTGTTTTCAAGTTTCTACCTAGCTGTTTTTACAGCAACAACAATTCTACGTCAAAGGACACCATGATCTCTCTTTCTTGAATCATTCTGTCACTGAAGGGAGATACAAAGAGGGCTGATTTGGGCAGCATAAAATTTGAGCAACTTGTTAACAGGGATAAGATGTTAGTGAAATAAGCAGACAAATCATATGCAAAGGTGTTTGTGCATGACACAATTGGTCTCGGAGGAATATCAGCTTTGTGAGTCTTCAGTAAAACTGTAGATTCTATCTAGGTGGCTGTTTTTGTTTTGGTCTGATTTTGTTGAAGATGGCCTCTGACAGATGTTTGCTTTGTTTTGAGGTTAGCAGTTTCTTAGAAAACTTCCTCCTTAGACTAATCATCAGATCTTTGTTTAAGAGCTGATATGGTCCTTTTTTGATGAGGACCATATCAGAGAATACCTTGGTCTGATAGGTGTCAGCATATAAGACTACACCAGTACATCCTTAAAGTAATGGAGAACCTTAGTGGCTGGTCCCCTTTCTAGTGTTTAATGCATCTCACATTTATTTTGTAATGTTAACCTCTAAATTAAGTGGTGATCATTTCCTTTATTCTCATGACCTTAACGTTTGATTCAGGAATGATATCACAAGAAGAAATTAGATGCGAGTTGCTCTAAAGGGTAAAAGGGTTGATTAGGAAAAAAAAATTTATGGAATTTTAAGGGTCAAACCAGTTTTCTGGCAGCTTTGATCTGAACTCAATATTAAATCACTTTTCTCGTAGAATACATTTACAATATTAAGTCTCACTTTAAAAACTCTGTGTCAACTGTCTTGAAGTCTGCCATCTTTTTGATTCTCTAGAAGAGTGCAAGAATTGTTTTTAGGATTTTAAAGGCAATTTGATGGATGTATAGTATTCATCAATGTTATTTATTTAAAACGTTAATGAATTAAAGACTCTAGAGCATTGCACGTGCTTCAGTTCTCAGAAGGGTTCCTTCTGTTTATGTTGATTTGAAGTAACAATTCTTAATTTGTGATTTTTTTTTTCCAAAACAGAATGCCATGGTACTATTAGATCTGATTGGTGCCGCTAACCCAGTGTTTTATAACACTTTCAGAGAAACAAATGATTTATTTGAGAGATTACAGATGATTGGTAAGTGTCTTTCACTCTGAACATGTTAATTGCAAACAGGAGATTTACTTTGTGAAGCATTTATGAAATGTAAGCTCCATATTTAGGACAGCCTGGATGGTGGAGTGTTAAAACCATTCAATATTCTCTCTATCCCAGGAGCTGGTGTCACATGTGGTGTGGTTACATTTGTCTTTACCCACCTAATGGTTACCAAGCCTTAGAACAGGAGTGAGGCTAAGGTTGACCTCGTTATGATACAAACCTTGCTGCTTTTCAGATGCAAATTACTTTGTTATTATGCTAACTAGATACTGGTCTCTATCACAACAAGGTCACCTTCAACCCCACTCCAAATCAAAGGCTTGGCAACTAAGTACACAGCTGTAAAATGGCCTATTGTTTCATGGACTATACAAAATCAAATGAATTGATACAAATTTTAAGGCCTTAAAAAACAGTATGAAGAAAATTGACTTAAAAAAGTACTTTATTTTAAATTTTGGTTTATGTGGAATACTTGTGAATTAGGTGGTGTGTCATTCTATTGTGTGATGTCACACATGAATAGCTAAGCATATGACACAAAAAACTTGTATTGTATTGTATACAAAACATAGTGAAACAATGAAGAGTGTGGCAGTAAAAGACAATTTTGACTGAAAAATCGCTGCTACTACACTAGATGTAACAGACACAGAGAAAAAGAAAATAATAAACCGAGCCAAGATGTAAAAAATGCAAAATAATACCTAACATATGAAACTGAAGAAACCCACCTAGTAGCAAAAGCTATAAGCTGAACAAAAAAACTAAACTAAGCAAAAAACTAAAGGCACAGAGAAAGACACCTACATGATCCTACATGTGGGTTGGGTATGATGTTGATTATTGCTCCAGGACTCTATATAAACCAACACTCAAAATTCTAATTTTACCTGGAGATAGATGATGAAAAAAGATCATAGTTATTATTATAATTTTTATCATGATTGTTGTCAATATTATTTTGCATATCATTCTACACACATCAGGGTCAGAGAATTAAAGCATTCCATCCAAGACAAAAGTAACATGAGATTGTTAAACCTCTGATGTTACTCTAATGTGTACAATTTGTAATAAATCATTTTGTACTTTTGTCACTTTTAACCAGAACGTCGCCTACTGAGCAACCAGCAGATACATATACCACCCAACACCCAACAACCATATTTCATTCAAGGGCTAATGGACAGAAGATATCTTGTAGAAGACGATCACATACCTTTCCTACGAAGAAGTAAGTATTACAAGCTGTTAGATATTTCCTAGATTGTGAACCCTGAAGAAATGTTTAATATGTAGCCTATAGAGTATTCCCCAAGCTTCTTTCCCAAGAGCCATCTCATTGTCTCTAACTAAGGTTATATAGGTTGTATGAGCCAACTGCTCACAGAAGAGTACAAATAATGTGCCAGTCAAATACAAACATCCTGCATGAGAATATACGACACAGATGAATAGTGCCTTTTGCACACACTGATTTGCTAGTTCAGAAGTGAATAGCAAGTATTATATTCACCTTTGAGTTTAATTGTCAGACCATATCTTGGTATATTGAAAGATAAACTAATCTTTTTGTATCTGTATGGTATATACTTAAATGATTATATACTTCAGCGTTGTTGAAAGTGGTGGATATTTAGGTTGCAGCTTTGCAGCTTGGTAAATATTCACCACTGTTCACCTCCACTTCAGTGAGTAATTGTTAAATATTGTACAGTTATTTGAGCAGTAAGTTATTTTGTATTGTAATCCAATGCAAAAGTCATTTAAGACCTGTCACAAACTGCCTCTCTATTTGCTAAGCTTTTCCCACCTTAACCCTTTAACTCCGAAGATCTCATCAGTAATTCTCCTTACTGACTCTCGTACAGTTCTTGTGATGTTAGTTTGGAGAATTTGGTGTTGGATCAACTTATAATCTCCTAACTAATATTTTCCTCTATTCTCATCACTTGTCTGCTTGATATTGTATTGATATTGTAAGGAGAAATTCTGTCTTGGTCACTCGTGGGAGTTAAAGGGTGAAAAGAAACTTGCAGATGAAATGAAGCGGTTGGGTAATCAATAACTTATTAGTTGTTTTGGTTTTCAGTTTTACTAAGTATTACAAGTATAAGGAGAAATTAAATGCTAGTCACTCTGCGGGGTGAAAGGACTAAAAGAGTCTAGTGGTGGTTTTAACCCTTTAACCTGTAAGAGTGATTAGCACCTAATTTCTCCTTACAATATCATCCCTGAATCACACATTTAGGTTAGGAGAACGAAGGAAATGATCATCAACAAAAAGAAGCTCTTGACTGTTAAACAAATTCTCTTTGTCAGCACCTTAGGAAATGTAGAGAGCATAGTATGGAGAGTCTGCATACTGATGTTAGGGTGTAAAGGGTTAATTGATTATTATTGCAATGTTTGCAAAATATTTATTTTAATTTGACTTTATCATTTTAGATGTTAAAATACTGCACTTGATATCACTGCCATTCCCACCATGTTGGCATAAGGACTGTGATGCTCACGAAAGTATTGACGATGAAGTTGTGAAGGACTTACTTAAAATCTTTCAAGTATTTGTGGTGGAATATTTTGGTCTTTCAGTGGTATAATGTAAGGAAAGTATTGCTTGTGTAGCAACCATTTTGACTTAAAGTTCAGGAGCACTTCATGGTATCATTCATCCCACAAAATATTTCCTTTATCCAAGTCAAAGTCTCAAGATTATAAGGAGTGGGGAAGTCAGTTTTTGTTGGTCAATCTACATCATCAACACAGTCAATAAAACCAAATTATTTTTTTATACCCCCAGTTAGAGCAACACCACAGTTTCTTTAGAAACTAACTCCATTTATTTATCTGTTTTAGAGAATGTTAACATAAAAGATTTCTTGAAAGTGGAAATGAATCCAACTGAAAGATTGCCATAAAAATTTCATGTATACTCCCTTCCTTGACAAAAATGAGAAAAGTCTTTTCAAGCAAAATATTGAATTTTTAAAAATTTTTAATGCTAAAATAAAACTATTGGTGATTTAGAAAAGGAAATGAATCAATTTACCACAACTTGTGACAGAAGTGGTTTTGACTTGATATATCATCTTCTGTGACAAATGTTAAACATCTTCACTTTTTTTCCAATTCATTTTTATCAGTTTGCAGAAATTATAAGGTGATTTACATGTAAGAATAGAAACAGTTAGAGAAATTTATCTTTAACATTATAACTATTGATTAGAATATCATGAATTCTTTTAATTGCAAAATTTTTAAAGTACAGAAAATGTTAATTGTATATGGGATGAAAATTTCATTTTCTGTGTGCAAGCACTTTTCCCTAAATTTAGTGATGGTAATATCAAAATTATTTCAAGTGCATTGAGGGAAAATCCTCAAATTAAGAATATTGAATTCATTTTACAATTAGGTGGTTAACTGTTGTCCACTTTCAAAATTTACAGTTTATTTCATAAGCAATCACAATAAAAGGCTTTTTTCAGAACCTTGCCTTTTGAGGTGTCTACAGTAAATGTAGTATGTTTGTAGTATATTGAAGACCAGTTCTATAGACCCCAAAAATTTTTGCACAAAGCAAGAGAACATACAACAAACATCTTGGGAATAAACCCTTTTACACCAAATTGTTTATGCTGTAGAGCCTGCCGTGTCAACCCTTTACACCCTAACATTGGTATTCATGTTCTCTGTACTCTCATTTATACACCTCCTTTGGTACTGACAAGGAGAATTTGCTAAACAATCAAAGTTTTTTAGGTTGGTGATCATTTCCTTTATTCTTACATGATCTTTATGAATGATTCAGCAGTTACTGTGAAACTGTGGAAGTAAAGGAAATTACTTGCTGGTCATTCTTGGGGTTTAAGGTGTTCAGGTCTATTTCTTTATGCTGAATTACGAATGATTGAAATAAGGCTTTTTAAGGATTGGAACTTATGCCAACCTCTCTTTTGCCTTTAAAGACCCTAAGGTTTTGTGGCACATTTTATAGCTGTACCATAAATTCCCGTTCCAGGGAAGCCAGGCACTCTCAGGGTTTAATCCTTTCACTCCCTAGATCACCTTAGTAATTCTCCTTACCATCTGCTATACAATTCTTATGATGTTAGTTTCGAGAATTTGGTGTTGGATTAACAAACAATCCCCTAATTCAAATATTTGTTTATTCTCATCACTTGTTTTCTTGTATTGTACTGGTATTCAATGACTGTGAATATATGAAAATCAAATAATTAACTCTTTCACTCCCAAGATCTGATTAGTAATTCTCCTTACTATCTGCCATACTATTCTTATGATGTTAGTTCAGAGAATTTGGTATTGGATCATCTAATCATCCCATGATCGACATTCTTCTCTATTCTCATCACTTGCCTGCTTGATATTGTATTGATATTGTAAGGAGAAATTCTGTCTTGGTCACTTGTGGGGGTGAAAGGGTTAAGTGAAATGCAGTTTGAGAAATGGACTATGAGAATGATGTTCATGGTGATGAACATTACTTAAGTAATAGTACAGGCCTAAATTTTTTCCAGGCCTTATTTTCAAAACTGCTTAAGTAGTGTTCATTACAGCGAGGATCATTTCCATATTCATGTAATGACATTGAAAGGTGAAATTCTGTCTTGGTTACTCATGGAACTTGAAGGATTAACAAATTTGAGTAAACAAGTGCAATTTGTGAACTGAGCTTTGCCTGTCAAGGAAAGTAACTTTATCATCTTTTCCAAAAAATTCATAACGACGACTCTTTCCGTTTCAAAAACTGGACTCTTATTGGACGATCCGGGATAATAACAAGTCCATGAGTTGTCTTCTCCACTGTTTCACCAGTAGCATCAAGGAGTTGATAATTTTGTATGAGTCTTGTCAGCAATAAGCATTGCTCTAGTTCTGTTACCCTCCGGCCTATGCACATTCGTGTTCCAAATCCAAATGGAAGAGAAGCAAAGGCGTTGATGTTTCTTCCACTCTCAGATGGATTCTTACTTTCTCTCAGCCACCTTTCTGGTGTAAAAGACAACGGATCTTCAAAATACTGCTCACTCAGAGACATTGCATGATTTAGAATCATTACGTGGGTTCCAGAAGGAATTTTGTAACCGCTCAAGAGCAAATCCTGTTCAGTAACTCTGGCTAAGAAAAAGATTGAATATAATCTGAGGACTTCCTTAATACATGCTTTTAGGTAGGGTAACTTAGACAGCGTTGCATTGGTGACGAGTTCTCCGGGCTTCAGGACTGAGGAAATTTCCTGATACAAATTTAGTTGTTTGTCTGGATTTTTTGCCAACTCGTATAAACACCAGAGGACTGAAGTTGCTGTTGTGTCGACTCCAGCAAAGTATACATCAACGTAAGTAGCTAAAAGGTCTTCATGAGTCAAATCGGAAGCCAAGACCAGATATTTTAGGAACTCGATGTTCTGAATTTGGCCTTGAGGTGGTTGTGAAAGCTCACCTTGGTTTGCAAACTTCATCAGCTTCCTTTTAATAGCCTTATCGGTAAATTCATAAAATGTATCATAACTTTCTGCAAACTGTTTGTACATTTTGGTTTGAAATATTTTGTGCAGCCACAGTGGTTGCACATCAATGTGAGCTGTGCTTTGCAGAAAGTTGTTTACAGCGGAAATGAACTCTTTCACTTCCGGGTGAATTTGGTCCTCCAGAGCACCAAACCTCTCGTCAAACAGCATCAACGACACTGACTCAAAAGACCACTTAAAAAGTTCCTCCTCCAGCGATGGAATTTCATTTTCCAAGCCGTGACTACCGCGAAGTCTTTCCAGCCGAGCAACAAATTCTGTGACAATCTTATTAAACGCAGGTTCGTAATCAGCCACACTCCTCGGCTGGAGCATTCGTTCGTTGATACATTTTCGATGCTTGTACCAGCTCAAACCATTATCGAAGATTATTCCAGCGGGTTTGTTAGTTTTTTTCCTGTAGTATTCCATCACTGGACTATCAGGTCGGATCGGAATTCGGCCCTCAGATCTTAAAACGGTGGAAACATCGACTGGGTTTGAAATCTTCACAAAGTCAACAGCCCGAAGGCCCATAAATTTTGTCCTGAATATTGGACCGAACTGTTCCACATTCCTAAGTTGAGCTTTTAACACGATTTTCCCAGCATCTGCCTCATTTATCTTCTGTTGGAAAGAAAGGATTTTAAGACCATTCAAGAAAATTTTCTTCGCCAGAGCGATGCCCTGTAGATCCGAATGAGGACCGGGCAGATCCTCTATGGAGCGTTCGTCTGTTGTTTGTACATTTTCGCCAGTAACTCCCGCAAATAACTTCACACTGAATTTTGAACATCCTTTGGTACGAAAATGTAGAGAAATGTCCTGAGAAACGCGACATCTGCACCGAATTGAGAGCATCATTATCCAAAATTGTTTTCCCCTACCCCGTCACTCTCAGAGCGACAAGGCCACCATGGTAGATTGCGTGAGTTAAGTACCTTGGTAAATGTGTCATGAAAACAGCATCAAGTGTCTACAAATTACAACACATGCTCATTTCGTGATTCGCGGGACCACGACGTAATGTCACTGAAGGGAGAGAAGAAACCAGGGACAGGAGCCGTTAAAGTGACGGCTAAAAAACACAGATGGTATCTTGGAGGTATTGCCTCGGCCATGGCTGCCTCTTGTACCCATCCGTTGGATCTTTTAAAGGTATTGAAAATCTACACTGTACTTGAATGAAATCTTGTAACGAGTTGCGTCACAATTTCCCGAAGAATTTCTCCGAGTATCAGCCAGAGTATCTCCTTAAAACTTGAGAGGAGTTTTTGCATTAAAATGGTACAAATAAAGCGATGGGTTTTAATATGTCAAATTAATAAATTGAGGTTTTCCTAGTTCATTATCTATGCAGATCAGCGAAGATTACATCAGCCGGCCGGCTACTCTATAAATTTTAGGCGACTTCTACGAAAATTAGTGTTGCTGTTAGGGAAAATTCTCTCGAGCTATTGGCTAAGAAAGATAACAGATAACAGATGTCAGATAATATTTTGAAGCACCGTGGCGTTTTACCCTCACACAGCTTATCACAACATGCCTCTACACACTCCTGAAAGAAAACACCTCCCTTCCCCCCTTATTTTGTAATAGAGCTGCATCAGAAAACAGTGTTGACTTTTGAGAGTGTATCACGTATGAAGCACAAGAGTAAGATTAATTAGTTCAGAGGAAAAATTGCAAACACATATTAAAAACATCGGGCAAAATGGTCATATTCAGTTTGGACACACAAGCCAAGAAAAATTAGTCTGACACCAAGTTGGAGCCAAAGAATACCCTCATTTGATTGAATTGTGGAAAAGAGGTTTGGTAAACAAAGGGTTAATGATAAACCCACATGTATATATACAACCAGTGATAATTTGAAAACTCAGTTAGCCAGAGTTATCACAATACACTTGTAATTACTTTTGTCTACAAGATGTATTTTGGTTGTGTTTTGTGATTCCTTTTGAACTGTCAGAAATTTTTCAGTTGGTGTATCTATCACTGGATAAGACACGTAGATTTTTCCCATCTGTGCTTTTTCACAATTACCTAATGTATAAGATTAATTTTGTTTTTTACTTACCTTTTAAAAAAAAAAAATACTCACAGGCATCCCAGGGTTGCAGGCACCCCAGCGTTGCAGGCACCCCAGCGTTGCAGGCACCCCAGCGTTGCAGGCACCCCAGCGTTGCAGGCACCCCAGCGTTGCAGGCACCCAAGGCTGCCCCCTAGTACCACCTGGATCAAGCTACATTATGAGACAAAGACATCATGCTAAATAATGTCTTTTAAATTGACTACAGAGAGCAGTAAGGATATCAGCCCTGCTGTCATATGCAAGATTTAAAGAATTTGACCAAATTTTATGTGATCCAGTCAGTTACCAAATAAGCAGTGGAACCCTGCTAACTTGAACACAGTGAACTCAAATCCCTGGAAACTTGAACAGGATCCAATATCCCTAGATCCATTTTTTTATGTTATTTACCATCAGCTAACTCAAACCCCCACTAACTTGAACCATTTTTTTCTTTCCTTGGGAGTTTGAGTTAGCAGGGTTGTACTGTAAGTAACCTTGACATTTATGGCTCATGTTTTTTCTTTGATTTTTCAAACTATCAAATTAGAAACACTATGCCAAATGTGAATCAATCACAAGGAGTTTATTGTTTTTTTGCTTTGTATTTCAAATGCAGGTTCATCTTCAGACACAGCAGAAGGTTGAACAGAGATTGGTATCCATGGCAGTTCATGTTGTACGTACTCAGGGAGTATTGGCACTTTACAATGGACTATCAGCTTCTCTTACAAGACAGGTACATGTCAATAGCTTGCTTATCCTCTTTATTTTCCTAGCACCTTTAAGACTGGTGGCATGGGTGAATCACTGTTAGAAGGTCATTGGCTGCTTGTCATCTCAGGTACCTACATTTCTAATCTGTGTTCTTCATCTCTCTCTTAACTTTCCCCCTCCATGCTTTTTTGGGTGGGCCTGTCTCCCTCTTCTGCCTTAAGGGTCCATCAAAAGAGACTCTGATCTATCTCCATGTCGCATGCTCTATGTCAAGTGTTTAATATTGAACAGGTTGATTCACAGAGCAATGTTGCTCCCTCTTAGGGGACCAAAATTGATAATTGTGGAGGTGTTAATCTAATACAAGCAGTGCAAAAGAAACCTTGATTGTGATAATCAAATATTTTTGTTCCTTCAACCTCAGCTGACATACTCCACAACACGCTATGGGTTATATGAGGTAGGCTCAGCAAGACTAAGAAAAGGAGATGGTAAGTACTTGAGATAAAGATCATGAAATTTAATGGTTTAGACTTTGCATGCAAGATGACCTGAAGGAAGGGAAGTGAGAACTTAAAATGATAAGTGGGAACTCTGAATAATGACTTGGTACTCACATTGCCCAAAATTATTAATGCATTCAATAATGTCTCCTTGCAATCTTATTGGTGCAACAAGTTATGCTGTGTTGAGAATTGACTTGCAAACATTTTTTATCAAGGATGGGAGTTATCTTTATTAACACACAGTTCAAAAATATAATAATGGCCCATATATGCAATTAAGAAGATAATGATGTTATGTTTAAATTCAGTCACTAACGCAAATGGTCATATTCGTTCATTTTGAAATAATGAATTATTGATTGCAATAATTTTTATTATTCAATATATATTCATTTATATATACATTTTTTTCTTTATCTATTTATTTCTGTTTATATCTAAGGAACTTTCATGAGACTTTCCTTTTCACTCTATTTAGCTCCTCTACCATTTTACCAGAAAATTGCAGTTGGAGCATTGTCAGGTAAAGCAGTTGCCAAAATAAGTTCACAGAAAATTATTCTTAATAATGCAAAGGAATAACCATAGAAAAACCCAGCAGATTTTACAGATAATTTATTTTGTTAAAGCTCAATTGGGTTAAATGCTTATGTTGTGATTATTGTAATGTTTCAGGAAGCAATCACAATTAACTTGTTCCTAATAGATTTAATTTCTGAATTTAGATGATCTAAATGATAAATCACTTTGTCTTTTCTGTAAGGTTTTATTGGAGGAATTATTGGAAATCCTGCAGATATGGTCAATGTGAGGTATTAAAGTTATGCTTGATCACTGTTGGTGCTGCAAACAAAGGCATAATTAATTCAAAATATATCAATTAAATTGCCTTAATGCATTAATTAATTTGCTAATTAGCTTTTGACATTTGGCATAATTAACTTCTAACTGTTTTATTTTCCTTTCCTTAGAATGCAAAATGATGTTAAGATAATAGATGTTGCAAAGAGGAGAAAGTGAGTGTTGCAGGATAACTGACTCAATAAGGATTGTATGAAAGCTTCTAGAACCACTTTTAAAATTTGAGGTTAAGAATGGTTAGTGCACAAGATAGTGACAACAGACTCAGCATATGAGGGAAAATGATTGAGGAGGATATCAAGATTATTTAAGATACTGTCATCAGATCAAGAGGCTCTTGTGTCTTCCAATGCCATTTGGAAGGCCTGGCTGCTTAGACCATGTAGTGATTCAGTGGCAATTCAGTTCTGCAGAATGAAGAATTTTCTCTTTTGTAATAGCTGCAATAGCAGTGACTTGCATGCTCTGTTCTTTGCACTTTGTTTGCACCTCTGATGCAGCATGTGATTGATCATCTTCTTTTCAGTTACAAGAATGTATTTGATGGTCTGTACAGAACAGCAACAGAAGGTAAACTTCTTTTACTCAATTTATGCATAATTATTACACTTTGTTTAGCAATTTTACACTAGTCCTTGTTTTACTCTCGGTGAAAATTCACTGGTTCCTGAATGTTCAATTTAGTTTTCTAGAACTGTTGCTTTTATTATTCAACAGAGGGTATTTCTACTTGGATGAAAGGTGTGCAAATGACCTCATCTAGGGCTGTGTTGATAACAGTGGCCCAGGTATGCGTCATCGTTATTATCTTACATCGTTTATATCTTAGACTACGAGCAGCCCCTCCTTTTTGGCAAAGTCCGTCGCGAGAGACCGAAAAAATAAGGTAAGAAATCTTCTAGAGGTCCGCGCGGTGCGCTTACCACAATTACCGCTGACTTTTTCACTGATTTTTTTCAGGCTCACGCGACGGACTTTTGCACAAGGAGGGCCTACTCGTTACTTATCTATAACCTTTCTGATCCTTTAAATTTCATAGATCTCTTTAGATAATCGACATTTTTTTTATTTTGATGGGAAAATTTCATTCCCTCTTTTCAGTTTCCATTATGCCTCACAACTTTTATCGTTCAAGTGCAAAGAAAGTCGCATTAGTTCAACCTTAGCTTTTTCTGCAACATTACCTCAAAAGAAAAAACCCAAACCAGCAGAAAACGACAAAAGCAAAAGTCGCGAGCATAAAATTAGTTACTGTCTTTAATGCTTAAAGCTAGCCAGCACTGGGCAGTTGTATAACGTACGCTTCGTGGAGGAGATTGACAAGTTTGTCTGTTTTATTCCTCATCAGGTAGCTTGTTATGACCAAGTTAAACAGCTATTACTTGGATCTGGGTAGGTTAATCCCTCTGAAAGCCTGTGGCTTGGTGTTTAGATCAATAGCTTGCGAGCGAGCCAACGGCTGAATATGCCTAGCGAAAACGATGAATATTCTAGCGATAATCCCCAGTTTATCCCCAACTGAATTTGTATCCGATAAAATGAGAACCTTCGAAGGGCTGAAATGATTTTAATTCAAGAAAGTAAAGCCCTTTTCTGTGTTACCAGGAAAGAAAACAAATTTCTTGGAGGTGAATACTAAAACTAGGCGGCATCCACATCAGAAAAAATCTTTTGGTATTGCAATGTGAAAAAGTCAGCATCGTGGTACACATTTTAACGTTTCTGGCTCTAAGCTGTTCCCAAAAGTTTTGTCTCGCGAGGCCAAAAGCTCAAATCTCGTGCAAACTTGGTTTTCGGAAAGCATTTCGTTTCTCAGAAAAGATAAAATCTCCAGACCGATATCTAAAAGAATTTCTATTGTTTACATTTTTGATGACTACTATTCTCGTGTATTTATTCCGACAAATAATTTCTTCTGATCATTTCAAGAAACTGATCCATCAACACTCTTGATTGTTTGCAGATACTTCAGTGACAATATCATAACGCACTTCACTGGCAGTTTTATAGCGGTAAGATTCTTTTGTCCATCATCGATGCTTTTAACTTCATTGAATTTGAGGGAAAATTAACAGACTTTTTCGCACCGAAAAAAAAGAGATTGATTTGTGACCGCTTTGTTTCACTCGCATACAGGGGACAATTGCAACAGGCATTACGCAACCAGTTGATGTCATGAAGACAAGACTGATGGAAGCTAAACCAGGACAGTACAAGGTACTGGTAGAGGATATTTTCATTCTTGCTGTTTGAAGGTTTTCCAAATATGGAACCCGTGCTAATTCTTCCGACTCCGAGGTTCGATTTTCATTAGGTCGAGAGCGCTCTTTCGACTTCATCGCCGATGAAAACCAGCCTCTGACGGGTCTTTTGGCTTTTTTGCGACTCTTTTAACTTTAAGATAAATGAAATCTATGGATGTTTGTGTTCACAAACTTCAAATCTTGCAGAGTGTTCTGGACTGCATTCTCTACACCGCGCGGCTCGGACCTATGGGGTTCTACAAGGTATGAATTATTTACCTAGACACCTTTTTTTAAATTACAAATTTTTGTAAATATTGCTGATTAAGGAATATAAGTCATACTGCTGTACTTGTAGCAGGTCCAGACAATAGTAATCGTTAATAGAGTCAGTAACTAGTGGGTGTGTTGTATAAAAGATAGCTTTATTTCCCGGCCCAATTTTCCATTAAGATCCTCGTCGGTTTTTTGACTGCAGTCTAACGTGATATCCTCTTTTTCTAAGAATAATAGTAACTGACAGCAATTCGACCCGTACTCATACCATTATCGCAAGTTGCTCTAGTTTAATAAACCGGTTCTTTTTCTTAAGAGTTTCGTCGATGCCAAGGACACTTTTGATTACTGATTTTAATTGTCAGTTTCTGTTGATCTTAGTATTAAATGTCCTTTTTTCTTTTTTTTTTTCGTTTTTAGGGCTTTATTCCAGCTTGGATCCGTTTGGAACCTTACACAATTTTAACGTGGATCTTTCTTGAACAACTTCGAGTGTTGTTTCCTCTAAAGGAGTCGTAGACTGTTTGTCTTTGTAGTTACAATACTAAATACTACGCCGCGATAATTTTTTATTAAAGGGGGTAAGTTTCTGAAGAAACTGTGGTGCTACATCGATCTGGGGTATTACAAAATAATTTGATTTCATCAAGTGAGTTGATAATGTAAACTGGTCTCTGTAAACAGTTTATAGCTTTAGAAACTCCTTACGGTGGCCAATTTTCATTCTCAACTCGGACGATAAACTGAAATTATCTTGTAATTTTTTGTTAATATAGTTAATAAGACGATTTCAAGTGCAATTTGGTGTTAATAAGTACGAGTAAATTTTTCAAAGACAATAAAAAGTGCGCAAGCTCGTATGGCCAGTTCAATTTGTAAACTTTGAAAATTTTACAAGGGCTTACTTGCACCAAATTGTACTTTAAATCAAATTATTACTTATTTTAAAATAATTTAAATGAAATAAGCGTCGCAGAAAGTCAAGGCAGACAAAATTTTTGCAGCCCGCGCGCCATTTGTAAATTCCATTCGTCTTACAACTTTGACTCGTGTTACATGAATAATGAACTCGTTTTCAGCCAATCAGACGCGCATGATTTTTTCAGTTATATTGTTAGACTGATGTAATGCGGAAGGTTACGATGAAATTATAGGATAAACAAATTTTGAAAATGAACCATAAAACAATGTGACAAGTAATATAGAGAAAGGTTTCAAAAAATTTTGGCTTCTATTAGAGAAAAGAAATCACAGACTGATTTTTTCTCTTTTTAGAGATGAAAATGTGTATATTTTTAACGCTTTATTTGATTATGCGCAATTTCAAAGTGTGAATGTTAGTATCCTTAAGAAATCTTATATTTACACTTTTAATACAATTTAGCCTTGCGTACGGTGTCCTTCTGGCTGTTTTTTTCTTTTTGAGCGGCTAGGATGCATTGTATAACCAGCTGGGGAAAGCTGACGAAGTTCACTGACCTTTATCTAATACATTCGTATCTCATAGGTTTAGAGTCTAAGGCGTTTAATTTATGATTCAGAAATAAAGTCATTTTACGAAGCATAGGGCCTATCCTGCTTTTGAGTCATCTGATAGAACTGAGCTGCCATGATTTAATGATAAAGATATTTTAAAAACCATGATTGATATAAAATTAAATGCAGTCAGACTTTCTATGAGGGTATGCCCTTTTAGGCTTAGCTAAAGTGTCCCTTGAAAAGCAAGTTACACTGAATTGAACAACAACTTGCCTGTCGTGGAGGGAACAGAATGAGAAATATAATGTCCCCGGATGTTATCATACCGGAAAGCTGGAGGAGTTTTTTCGCGGGCACGCAAAGGAGTTACTTGCACGAAGGGGGTGGGTTTAATGAACCGAAAAAAAAGTTGGAAACAAGTACTGTAGCCATATAAAATCTTGGTCTATCGTTAGAAAAGCGAGAATACCTTAATTGGGCTCTCGAGTGCATTTCTGGGCTGTTTCCAATAAATAGAAGCACGCTCCTATTATTCTGAGGCTTTGCCCTCAAACCATGAAGCCGCCCAACAAAACAACTGAAAAATAAGAGAACGAGCCCTCACAATCAGCCTCGCCATATCTCTCACTGATGACGTTGGAGATTAACGAAATAATGAAGACGAGTGTGGCGCACAAGTTTATGTGTTTTAGACGTACCGACCTCAGCCAGGGTAAGGCTGTTTGGCTAAATCATAAAGTATAAATTTTAAACAGGCCTACAATCTTCTTATGAATCAAAAGCGAAACTGCGAGCAAATTTTAAACAAATACTGATGGCAGTGTTTAATATTGTTAAATGATTCTGACATGTCAGACAGGTACTTAACAAAAGACATAGAGCATTGTGCTGTCACCGACAATAAAGAAATTGATGTCTGTATTACAATCTCAGAATTTTCGCTCCATTGCGTTCAACAGAAATGATGAAAAACGTTCCCATCTTCAATCGAAAATTCTATAGTAAGTTACAACTCTTTCATCGCAGAGTTATTTGTATGAATGCTACGAATGGAAAAAGTTTAATGAATGTGTACCTTCTTTGCCACCAAGCTGTATCAGAAGAACAGGAATTGGAAGAATTGTTTTTCTTTGCACGAACAAACAGCAATTTTAAGGGAGATAATGTGTCGATAAGGTCAAACGGTTTCATCTTGAAACGCTCTTTTCTGTTCCCGTTTCCTTTGTTCGCTGTGAAGGCCATCGTATCGTGCTGCTTGTCTACATGCTGAGTCAAAAGAATAATTTACTATTATGATAACATAAATTGAATTTTTATGAAAAAAAACATGAGAACAAAACGAATTGAACATTGAGGCAGCTGGGCTTGTTTTTCCCACGGATATGACAGGAACAAACTAAGGCACGAATGGCATTTCTATTAAGGAAGATTTTAAATCTTGAGGACGTTTCAGTCAACCATACCTTACTGTCAGCGCTTATCTAGTGCGACTTTGCAAATCAAACCGTTATTGTCAGTAGTAATAGTAGAGAGATTTAACCCTCAAGTGGTAAAGGTGCCTGGATCACGTTTCTCTGCTGACGAAAGCAATTGTTTGCTACACGTACATCAAGCTTCCCTCTTGCGTGCAACCCAGTTGATAACCAGTGGATTCGGCAGAACAGTGGTCAAATAAGCAACTTGTCTCATGGTAAGTAAGCTTTCATTGTGTTCAATACAAAGAATGCATGTGATCAAGAGGTTTTAGAAAAAAACTAGAATTTTCTGGTGGCCTCAACTGAAGACGAATATCTCTTAGCATCTAAATGGCGCAGTACAGTGAACAGATAGATGTTCTTCACAAATACTTCAGTGAAGACTGAAAACGAATTTGCAAGAGTGAATTTCAATTTATGATGGATGTAGCACGCGTTGTAAAATGTCGAGGAACAATTTTATCTCTTTAAGCAGAGATGTAAATCTTCCTCGTGCTTAGTCAAAAGTCCCATGTTTACAATGACGTATGAACTCCATCTGTTTCATTACTGAGAACTTTACCTGCGGCATTGTGGAAAATATGGACGAATTCGTGATATCACTACATATTAGAATGAAGTCGTAACTGAATCGATCTTGCTCATTTAGAGGAAGGGTCTAGAAACAGTGTGTAAAAGCAGTGACATAATAAACAGGCGATCGAACATAACCGGCAGTACTAGTTTTCTCGGCCTTGAATGCAGATTAGTGACTCGAATCAATTAACACTGATTAAGTAGTTTACTTAGCCACTTTAATTCTCTTGTTTACTCTAACACTGAATTGAAGTAACATTCAAGGAAAATTTCAATTAAAATCTTCGCAGAATTGAATGAATTCTCTCTGACAAAATAAACAAACCAAACCAAGCTTAAGTCAGCAATGTCAAATTGAGTGACCTTGAAGACTAGGAAATAAAACTTGTTTTATCGCAACCGATTACAACTTCCTACATTTTAGTGTCCGGTTTCACATTAAACCCGTCTTTCTTTAAACAGTTTATCCTCGTAAAGATTGATGTTTTTTCACAATCATTGAAAAAATTTTAACATAAATGCCTCGAAATACAGCCGTAGAGTGGAGCTTGAATGTGACAAATGAAAAATCGCTTGATGATGGCGAGACAAGAATAATTGGCATGTTTTACAGAGGAGCACTGGCTAGAAGTCTGTCTCAAAGGTAAGACACTTAGCAATGTTGTTATTTTGCAGGAGTTGACGTTAACAGAAGGACAAATAGCAGGTAGGAAAGTAAAGACCACGAGCATGGTGCTCGACCTGCCTCGGCGCAGGGAGGCTATCGTACATAATTTCGAGATTGCTTAAGTATCGGACTGATGGTTCTCTGATCATGCACTTAGGGTTTTTGCACTTCACAGAAAATAGGAATGACCAAAGAAGCTTTGCCTCTGTTACCTTTCACCTTGAACGACTCTTTAGCATGAAGCAAGAGAAGTTAACCATAAAACTCACGATATTTCATCGGTTTTTGGCAACTGGGATATTTTTACAAGGATCATGGCTGAAAACATCTGTGAAAGATAGATCGGATCGCTAATTTCGATGATTGTAATTTCTTTTACATTGTGGTTGTGCGGTTTTGTCGACTTGTGGAACAGTTTTAATGTCAGCCAATAAACCATGATTGATTTGGTAACTAAAGTGAGAATGAAGACCTAGTTGTAGAGAATATTTTACATACACCATAAATACCTACCACACTATACCCTTAGTTTAATCTCATTCATCATTATCTCATTGTACTGGTTACTTGTAGTTCGTTCAATTTTAGTTCATTTAGTTTAGTGAAGTCGGCTTTAACAACTGTTTGAGGTTTATTTTACAGATTTTAAGGAGGCTTTCTCGCTTCTTGATAAAGACGGTGATGGTACCATAACCACAAAGGAGCTTGGGATACTAATGAGGTCCCTGGGTGAAAATCCAACCGAGCAGGAACTGGAAGAGATCATCTTAGAAATCGACATGGACGGTAAAAATTGTCAGATACAAACATTCTCTAAACCAGAAAGCATCATCACTTCCGGATACACTGAAAGTTATTTGTGCACTCTTTTAGCTAGCTTTTATATTTTCCCGATATACGAGTAATTTACATATTGGCGGCAAAAAGGTTTTTATCCCCAAACTGAGCTCTTGCCTTGCACAACTGTAAAATTATCTTTCCACGTAATTAGTTTAGCCTTTCAACTCCCATCAGAGACCAAGTCTGAATTTCTCCTTACAATATCAATTGAATTTCAAGCAGACAAGTGATGCGAATAAAGGAAAATATCAATAAGGGGAGTATAAGTTGATCCAATACTACATTCTCCGAACTAACATCATAAGAATTGTATTGCACACAGTAGGGAGAATTATGAATAAGATCTGGAAGTGAAAGGGTTAAGAATTTAAAAGTGGAGTGGGGTAAGAAACAGAGTAAAGAGAGTTATTGAAAAAAAAAAAAAAAAAAGGTCTGATTCTGTACGTTTAAACTGAACTAGATTTCCATTTTTCTTTTGAAGGCAATGGCATCATTGACTTTAGAGAATTTCTCCACCTGATGGACACCCGAATGAAAGAAACAGACACAGAAGCAGAGATACGAGAAATGTTCAAAGTGTTTGACATGGATGGTAACGGGTTTATAAGTGCTGAAGAATTCAAGTGGACGATGATGAATCTTGGTAATCAGTTGACCGAAGAAGAAGTCAACGAGATCATCAAAACGGCTGATTTAAATGGCGACGGACAAATTGATCTGGAAGGTAATTTCCATTTTTTTTTTATTCTCTTCTTTTTCATGTCCAGTGTTCGATTGTTTCATCGGTGTTTGATCTTTGCGACTTTTTCTCTTTGCCTGTCAGTTTTGTTTGCACATGTGATATAACGACTGGCTAACCCAGTCTCGTTTCTTGGGGTTCATAAAATTAAAAGTTTATGTAAGTTTCCAAGCCAATTTATATTTTTTGAGCTTGTTTACCAAACCCTCACCATAGGGATTAATAGAGGTAAATAGTCTATCTATAATTTCTTTGCGACTAAATATTTAATTACACGATTATTACAAAAGATAATATCAGTAGCAATATTGAAAAGAACTACCAGTAGTTAAAAGAAAGTTTGTATAAACTCTATTTCCAACGCATCACCTAAGTTGACTTATTTCTCTTTCAGAGTTTGTCAAAATGATGTCCTCATGAGCCAGCACGTGCCATCAGCATTATTTAATGGTACAGAAGTTGTGCACTCGGCACTCAAGACACAGGATTGTTTCTGGCATCGTGCTCTGTATTTCTCTGAACTTGTCTGTAGAAATGAGTGGGACTCAAACTATCCAGAAGTTATGAACTTACACAATAGTGTGACATTACAATGTTCAATCAAAGTTAAGGATAAGCCTCTAGCAATTGATTATCCTAATGATTTGTACGTTTTACGTAACTTTATATAGTAACTGACATATGTACTGCAAGTGCCTTGGTTGTTCAAAAACCTATCGTTTGTTGCACTGATAAAACCGTAGAAAATTGAAGTATATTATATAAAAGTAATGGACCGCCCTTTCTATCGGTTTACCGGCGTAATAACCCAATTGGGATGTTGGGAGAACACAAGAAAAGTCGGTAAATCACTTGCTTTAGGCTCTTGATTTACCAACTTTTCTCGTGTTCTACCAACATCCTAAGTGGGTTATTACGCCGGTAAACCTATCGAAAGTGTGGTCCATTACCAGGACCTTAAGAAATGTGTAGAGAACCGTATGGAGAATATGCATACTGATGTTAGGCTGCAAACGGTTGAGAGCGTACACCTTCCAATGCCTATATTTTTAGCCTTTCAGTGAACTAGGTTTGTTTTATTTTGTTCCCTTTTTCTAGCTTAGTTTTTTTCCTTCTTTTGTTTTTTCCTCTTTTTTTAATCACTGGTTTTCTAATTTCCATTTCCATTTTTTAGTTTTGTTTATGTGCAACTGAGTAAGTTGTGTCTTTCAAAACTAAGTCGATTTGGGAGCTAAATGTGCTTTGTAAAAAACGCGTTTACGATCTTCGTCATTATGGAAACGTTTCAGTAGTTTGAAAGAAAATTCAATTTGTTTTTATGCCGATCACCTTGAACGCCTGGTATGTATGCTGTGAAATTAATTTAAACTTCTTAACGTTCTTAGGAAAAAGTCCTAACGAAAAGCTCAAATCATTTATTGATCGACGTTTTCCCCAGATTTGCCGTCATGGCTCCCTAGGATCCCTAATGAGGTCTTTCTAACGACGATTTAATCAATCAATTCTGACTTATACCCCATTCACACCAGCAAAACATGTTTTGTTAAACTGGTTTTCATTGAATGAAAATTATAAACAGAGAACTGAAAAACTTGATTTTCCATAGGATTCAAGTACTTGCTAACTTGCATTTCCAATGTGCTACATTCAAGTCAAAAATATTCGGTTAAATAGTTTCTATGAAGAAAAAAAAAATTAAACTGTGTTTAACAAAACAACTTTTAAACATGTTTAAGCTTTGGTGTGAATGGGGCATTAGTCAGTTCGCATGAACAGTCACTTAATGAAGTTTTAAAATAGTGTTCATAATGATTATTTCATTCATGAGCTGGCACCTTTCCGTGGCTTCCTACAGACACTCGCTCCTCTTGACTTGCGAATCTGTGCTAATTAGACTCTCAACAGGTCATTCAAGCCTGAAAAAGAAAGCTTTGCAATTATGAATGTACATAATGGTGATTTCTGTAACAAGGCTAAATTTGGTATCATGAGAAACGTCAGGGCCTACGTCCAAGAGATTTAGGTGCAGACATGAATGATCCAGTAGCCACGAATGCTTTCGCCCTACACATGCTCTCAAGGAATCTGGTGACCAAGGACCCTAGAGTATTTTTTTTTTGTCGTAAGGAAGTGAACGCTATGTTCATGGGACATGCATGCTTACCTACACAGAGCAAGTTTAAAGAGTGCTTCTATCTTACGAGTCGTTAAATCAAAACCAAAAAAACCGAAACAGCCAATAAGAATGAAATAAAGATGGACATCCCAAGAAGTTCACGATGACTCGAACAAGGCGCAACACATGATAGATTAAATTGGCGAGTGACCCAACTGGTCTTGGTTTCGGCTTCGAAAATAATTGACGGCGACGGAGGCTCAAATTTACGGGACCAGGTACTCATCGTGAATAAAGTAAGACAAAATCAATTCCTTTCAACACAAAAATGAAAAATCGCTCAAATGAATCAATCAGAAAAACAAATACCATGTACGCTATAACCCATTGACATTTATCATAAAGACACTTACTCACCTTTCTCTGTTTGTGGTTGGCTCTCCGTAGTTTTGGCACATGCGCTCGAATCACTATTACATTTCCAAAACGTAGTCCAACAGCAATAAGAGGCTCGCTGGGAGAACATCCTATACAGGTCGGGCGCTCTCCTATGTCCAAGACAGCTAGCACTTCTCCGGATGTAACACTGAAAAGTCGTACGTGAGACTCGTATCTGTAGCAGACCATAGTCTCGCCATCGTTGAGAAACCTGCAGTCGGCGATGTCGTAACAGTTTTCCAGAAAGACGTGCTTCCTCATTCCAGTCTTCGCACTGAGAGTGTGCAATCCATAGCCGTCATTCAGAGTATTCCATGTGACAACTACATCTCCCTGAGGAGAAAATACGCAGTGTGGATGCCTCCAGTTGCAACCGCCTTGGTAAATGTCGTCTTCTCTCCAGATGGGAACATTTGCCTCACCTCTGTAGAGGAACATTTCGCGCTTTCTTACGTCGTTTTCGGCACAGAACACCACACC